AGGCGGGCCAGGCCGCGCCAGTCCCTTACTCGAGTTGGGTCGGCACCGTTATGATAGAGCTCGTCGTACCGCGGCGTGGCGCGGCCCGGCGGGTCAACGACCGGCAGCAGTAAGGGCCTTAACGGCGCCGCGGCGCGGGGCATTCGCGCGACGTATCGCAAATGGCCATCGCGGCCGGGGGGTCCTGGGGGGAAGGGGGTGGGTAGCGTCCGCCGCCGTTCTCCAGCCCGTATGGACCCTCGCCTCCGGGACGAGCGCCGCCCAGCCACCATCCACCACCCCGTCGCCGGCCAGGACCCTTCAAGTCCATTCGGTCCCCATTTCAACGCGCGCGGGGATGGGCCGAGGCCAAGCGGCCGTCCAGGGGCCTCCGTACCGCGGGCTGCGGAGCCGCGGCGCGAGGCGGCGCGGCAGGGCCCCACCACCGTCCCACTTGGGAGGTTCAACGAACTCGTGGCCCGCCCCGCGCCGCCACACCGCGCTCCCCGTGGTGTTCTCATTGGAGGAGCGCCGTGCCGGGGTGGAGGCCGAGGGGGCCCCAAACCTGATAGAGAGAGAAGGGGGCCGGGGCCACACCTTCACCGAGCATCATGTTTGCTGACCAGTTGAAAGGAAAAACTTCTCACTCTTGGTTGGAAAAGTGAGAATGAATGTTTATACTCGCGACCCGACCCGACCAGGTAGGGGGCGCAGTGGCTTCAGAAATCATCGCCAAGGCCGAGAGGAGGGCACGCGAGCGCAGTTTGGAAATTGATTCGTAGACTGCTAAATTATTAACAATTAACTACTTTTAGCAATAAACTAATCGACTAATGGCGTGTCTTGCAAGACTTGATAGGTTCACACATATAGCACTGCAGCATGCAACAAGATCCCCCAAAAGCAGCCATTGCCCAATCCCAATGACGGGTTTTGCTTTAGGCCGCCAGGAGCGCCTGGTGGGTGACGCTGGCGGGCGTGACGCATGCGGCCGCTGACCCGGCCCGCACCCTCGCAAAGTCGCAACACTCTCACCCACCCAGCCATGTACTGCTCATCCGCCCGGCCATGGCCCGGGGAAGGCCTGCCTCGGTCTTTCACTCTTCGTAACTTTCGTCGGCCTGGCGTCCCCGAGAGGCCCGCGGTCTTATCTGGAAGGGAACTCCCCGCCGGGCGCGCGTTATCGGCGGAGCCCTCGAAGGAAGGACAAGGTCAACAATAAGGAGGAGGGCGCCTCGGACCTGCGCCACCCGACCGAACCACTCGGGACCTTAGTTGCCGTGGTGGAATTCCCTTCGACATGTTCCGAAATGAATGCCAGTCGTGGCAGTGGTCTTTCTTGGCCCCGTCGCCGTCCCCGGGGCCGGGGCCCCCGGGTCGTCGGCCTGCCCGGCCGCGGCCGGCCGCCAGCGTACGCGGCAGCGCTGCCGCAGCTTCTAAAGAGGCTCGGGTCCCCCTAGGCCCCGTAGATACACGGCTCGATGGATAGACGCTGCTAGAGAGGCGGCGAGGCGCGGCGCGGCAGGCCCGCGGCCGGTCAGCGATCCTCGCCACATTCCTTTTCAGCGCATTCACCCGCCCCTCTCAGGACAATCACCGAAAGTGTGCGGCGTGGAGTGGTCGGCCCGGGGGCCTGCGGGGGCTCAAGAGTGGGCCCGGGCCAGCTCCTTCCCGGGGAGCACAGGCATAGCCCCCTCCACGCCGACGGCCACCCACCAGCACCGAGGAGGTGGGCACCCATCGCGTACAGGGCAGCTGAATGGTTCGCACACTTCACCGCATGCATGCGTGCGGGCGGGTGGCCTACTCGCTCGAGCCGCAAGGCGTGAGGGGAGACGTTCATCCCAAACTGCGAACGTGAGAGCGGGCGAATCAGCCACCTGGTAACCCACGCCCATGCTCTGAGCCCGCTTACCCCCGACACCGAAAGAATTTGTGGTCACGCACAGATCTGGAGAGGAGCCTAGAGACGAAGAGGTTCGCTGGAGATTCGATTAAACTTCGCTGCCCCCAGCCAGCGTTCAACGCTCCGCGGAGCAGGCTCCTTTGTCGAAGCGGCCCGCCCGCCCGCGGCGCCCCCCCTCTCCCCCTGCACCACCATGCTCTCCAGGGCCAGGGCCCCACTCTGCCACGCAATCCATCCCGCAGCCAGCGTCATGAACTTGAACTTGAACCTGAGCGCGCGGCCCTGGAGCCTCCAGCTGCCGCCTCCCCTCCACTTCTCCAGGCAGCTTCCAGGAGGGGAGGGGGCTCCTCCGGTGCCTCCGCTCGCCTTGCCATCCGGAGCAGCAGCCTGCGGCCTGGCCGGCCGGGCCGTGCCGAGCCCGGGGAGAGAGAGGTGAGTGGCCGCAGAGTGGCGCAGGGCGCAGCGCAGCGCTGCCGCAGCGCCGCCCCTGCCGGGTAGGCAGTCCGGAGTGATGTAACGCGGCCGGCGCGG